GGGGGGTTCTGTTTAGTGGCATTGACTTGTAGACAGCAAAGTTCATAGTTCTGTACAAGGCAAAAACAAAGTGTCTTACGGCTGCTTTGCAATTCCTCCTGTTCGATTGCATACAGCTCTTGCATTTGGTTTATGTGGTCCTCCACGAGCTGGAGAGCCTGATTGATGGACTCCTCCGCCTCCCACGGCTCTCCCAAACTGACGCATATAGTAATGAGGCTGTTCCATATGTTTTTTGGAGTTAAGATGAAACGCAGATGCTTTTCCATGCCCAAATCCGAGGCCAGCAACCATGCATTTGCTGTCATTTGGTCTACCAAGAGAAATCAAGCAGGTATTTGGCATGGAACAAACAAATCGGTAAGGCGGTGGTAACCTGTATCGCCTCAGTGGCAGTTTGGAGCTTCTTTAGCTCTCAATGCGGCAACTTGCCTTAATAAGTGCAATAAAAATTCTTCCAAGTTTGTAAAAGGCAGACATTCATAAATGTGAACAGGTTCAAAAGTTGAGTGATGAACCTGAACTCCGCCAAAGTCCATTTATACTAGGTTCATAAAGTGGTACTTGTTATTTTTCTGCAATCTCATGAAATGTTGAAGGGATCAAATACCGGGGGAGCTGTTTGCAGTAAACATGGTATTGCCGATGGCGTTGCTCTTTGCTGTTAGCTAGTGACGTATTAACTAAAACTTTCGCTTTAAATATTAAACAGCCATTCACTTTAGTTCTAAACTAATGTAATAAGTGAATAACGTGCTACAACTTATTTGTAGAAACATTTTAAGCTAAAAGTTCAGACAAGGGAGGACGTAGATATCCAGCAAAATATTACACGTGTGTAACGGATTTTTAACGGCATAAAACACCACGGTCAACCTACTTTCGCCTTCAGAATACTTCAGGTCAATGTAGTTGTACTCAAAAGCCGAAGGATTATCTTTTTCGGCAACAAGAAGATCATTTTTGAGCCGTGCGATGAGTGTTGATTTGCCAGAAAATTGCTTCCCGAGAAAAATGAGATTCATTTTGGAGGAGACCCCACAGAAATTTTGGTTTCGACGTTGTGCGTTAATCTGAGCCTCCTTTAGCAGTTTCGACCTGATTTTTAGAAATAGATATTTTACTGAATTTAAATCAGTAGTATTGCTTTTATATTTATTTCTTTATGCGAGATATGACGCGCCCATTAATAGTCGAGTGGTTTGAAAATTTCTTGCTTTAGACATGTACTCAATGCAAGCCTAGGAAATAATAATCCTAGTAATAAAACGACAGGATTGTACAGTTTTGCAACCACATAAGAGCTTTCTCATCTCACTTTCATTGATGTAGTACGTCTCTTTCCTAAGCTTACCCTTTAAAATTACTTTGTTGCCAGCGTTTGGGGATTTAGCACTTACCACAAGTGTAGTGGGGCATGTTCATGGTCGTCCGACGCTCTCCTATCCATTACGCAGCAGAAGTGAAAACAAACTATTACGCCTGCTATTAGGCGACCTCAATGCTCCACAAGTTTATTGGTCAAGGCGACACCAATGGATTCTTCTTAAACGCTCTAAATATTGTGCCCTCAGGTCACACAGATTGGAAACTAGAGCCTCCAAAACGACCCGGCATCAACATGCTAAAGCGTTGCCGATTCATGAGTAACTGGTCAGAGTGCGACTACACCCTGAAATCGCTTCACGTAGGCGAAAACTCCTCAACATTTCCCACTTGCTTGACACGGCTCCTCCACGAGCAACCCTCGCGCAACCAACACAAGCTTAACCAAACACTAGGAAATTAGAAGTCACAAACCGAGAAGTCGATTTACCTACATCGGGTGCACCCTTTTAATGACTTCTCGCTCCTTCCCTTAAGCATTCCTTCCCAGCATCCCAGCCTTTGCTATCAAAGATGCAAGTCTATTAGGCACCTTATGACTCTAAGTTAGTAGCTCTTTAAAAGTAACGTTTTGTTTATGATATAAGATTATTTATTTCTCACAAATCCCCATTAACTCTGACCTATTCCACCTCATCATCCTCATCTTCATCCTCTTCCTCCCCCAACTCGTCGCCTCCTTCCTCATCTTCGTTCGACTCCTTGGCTGCGGCACGACGAGCCGCTTTCTCTGCCTTCAGACGCGCGCGCTCCATCCGACGCCAAACCTTGAAGGCCACCTCCATGGCCATATCAACCACCTCGTCCAGCACTAGTGGCCAGACTTGCGAGCGCATTGAGTTCGTTGCCAAAGTTGCCTTCTTTTCTGTTAATTCGCGGCGTCGCTGTAGTTCCGCCTGTCTTCGCTTCTCCTCTTCCTCCACACGCATCCGTTCACCCTACAATCAGCGAAGACAGGAAATAGGATAGTTATCCTTGACGATGCGATGAATGAGAGCTCCACTTACGTTCAATTCAAATGCCAATGCTCAGGCTACAGCGCTTCCAGTAATGCCACTCCAAGATGCTAGGGGATCTGTGCTTCTACTTCCAAGTTCTTGTGCTTCTACAGTGCATTTTACTAATTAAATCTTTTAGCCCACAGAGGTTCAACCTGGAGACGCCACTACTGTCACCAGTGCTGAAACTGTTGCAGTCCTTCGTCAAACCGACAAGATCTACCTCAATTCACTCATTATTTACACCAAGCTTGGGAAATTCGCTCCACAATGTGCCATGGGAGGCATCAAAGATGCGCTTCATTGTGGCGACCGACTCCGCAGAGATGCACAATAGAAGCGCGGCCAAACTTTATTAACTATGGTCATTATCCCAAATTCGGATTTCATGCTACTGTGAAAATGAAGAGTGAAAAGATTTAAACACTCCAAAAGGCAAGAAAGGAAACTGCGCTGGCCCATAGACGTGGTGTGGTCCTCGTTTCTGCCACTGTGGAGTGGTTGAGGCCACATAGGGAATGCAAAATGTGCACGACTAAGGCAGTTGAAGCATCCACAGACTTAGTTACATGTGAGAAAGCATAGTACATAAGTAGAAAGCATACATTCTGTAAAAGGGAAGGAAAATCGGAGCTATTCATATGACCCGGAGCTCATCCCACCCTTCGAAGGCATTTTAGCCACCTAAATAACCCAAACCGGGACAAACAGCCAAACAAAAGGTTATAATTCCTCCAACAACTTTAGTGAGAAAGACAAATGGCGAATAAAATGCATTCGCCGTCCAATATCAACCAATTTGAGCTCCTTTAGCATCAGGATAAAACTGTTTAAGCTTATAGTAACCAGATAATTGAGTAGTGGACTAGACCCAATAATGATTGCAATTTGCGCCGTTTGGACAGCTCATTTCGCCAAGGTCGGACGCTTCTCAGACCGACCTTTGGTGCACCAATGCAACTCCGTCATATTTGTTGGCGTTCCCAATGACAACTCAGATGCCATAACACCTCATAAGTGATTCGAGTATCACGACGATAGATTGAGAGATGAGCGTCACCCTCCACGTGTCAAACCGGTGCGTTAGAAAGGCTTACTTATTTTGAACTTTGAAGAGAAATATCATAAAGAGAATTGTATGAGGAACCCGCAATGCATAGTAATTAAAGCCGACACTTTTCGCAAAGACAGGAAGGCTGGGAGGAGATTTGCATATCCAACTGGGCTGACGGGGTTCACTGCACTCTTAACATTTAAGCAAGACACTCAAATCACTGATCCGAAAGAACGTGAGAATTAACTTTTAATGATGAGGAATAAACAAAGTACACCGCTATGAGTACACCAAAGCACCTCCCAATAAAAGCGCACCCCAGCGTCCCCATCTCAGTGAAGACGTTTACTTTGTAGTGAACTTTGCAGAAATCAAACTAAAAAGTGAGGTGAGGGGTTGGAAGTGCATGGATGGGTATCTATACACTCATATACATACCTTTTCTGGTTGGCAGGTTAAGTAAACAGGCACCACCGACACAAGCGCCTACCTTCAAGAAGTTCTGTTCCGCACGAATGGCACGTTCAGCCTGAAGTTGTATATTGAACGGTATCTGAGAGGCCAATATTCGTTCCATTTCAAAAGTTGCAAGCTTCCGCTAAAATAAAAATATAAATTCGATTTGTCACAAGGAGTACATTCGACTTGAGTCGTTAAAAGCGGGTTACGACTTGTGGTAATCTGGATAAAGCTGCGGCTCATTACAAGTTAAGCTAGCACTAAAGAAAGCGATGTTAGACGACAAGTGTGGGTGCTCGACCACATAAGACCAACTCTGTGAATTTCAAAGTAGGTATGCTGTGGGTTGTCGCACGAACCCCAGCTTATAGTCATCAGTATTCAGCCTCTATCACCCCAAAGGACGAAGCAATAAAACTTATTCGCATATTTAGCACGGTCAAGCCTCAAGGAGCTTAGGCAAAAAAAAGCAGCACTTACACAGCGATAGTCCCTAACTTTGATGGCCCAGTATTTAAGGTAATTGGCGAGAAATTCGATGGGATCGAACGGTTGGTAGAGCACGACAGCTGATAACGCATCCTTCAGAGGTTCACCCAACACGCGTTGGATGTAATCACTCTCGGGATGGTCCATACCTCTCTTTGCATTTGTCACCTGCATTCAAATTGATGTAATCAATACAAGTGACTGGGAAAAAATCCAAATTATGCATGCACTGTCTCTTTATTTCGATGGCCTAACCTTCGCCAATTTTCCAGTAACCATTACTATTGTCTGTAAAATCATGTGAATCAATTGGGGAGCATGATATGACGAAACCTTCAGCATGTGCTTATCAGAAGTGACTAGGAATATACGACAAAAAAATACAACTGATTCCTGATATTACTCAAGAATAGTAACGAGAATACAACCAAGTAATATACTGTAACGACATCGCATGCCAAATAGGACAAGATTAACCATATTTACAGGCCCTAGTAACTATTATTGATCTGATGCAATCAAACTGTGGCGTCTATGAACTCAGACAAAAATATGTGTATAAAACAGAGGATAGAGACCACCACACTTATTGTACGCAAGTTGACCAGACGAATGGATCCTAATCAAGACAGAAGTAGACCGAACGGCCGACATATTACAGAGACCATCTACCTTATTATGAGCACTTTCTCGGACGATCCCTTGATCGTATTCCGCGACAGCCACCAAGTACTAATCGTTGAAGGGAAGCATTCACAGACTAACTAGCCAGTCACCAAATTTATGCGCAACCAAGTAGATTTCCAGCCTCATCACTATTGACGACCCATCACAATCAACTGCGTAAGGCAATGATAGCTGAATTCAGAGATGAAAGACCATGGCAGCCACAGACCAGGTTCATAAGCACTGCTCGGAAGTAGAGTTGAATAAGAGGACAAGTCCTAAAGCAACTTGTCTGGATTCCTCCCAACGATTCAAAAAGGTATCGCGACTTGTACATCCACATATGCGTACAGTGAATTCTCTGTCAAAAAACCTGGGATGACTAATGGCTAGTAATTAGTGCATTGTTGATAACACTTTTGTCCCGGAAAACTGAACAGGATAGCTGTCAAATATGGATGCAAATGCAATATTTAATGCAAACTTAGTATGTGCATCCACTTCAGCCCACCAAGAAACATAAAACCATGGAAGGAGACAGGAAACTGCACTATGGAACTAGATAGAGACCACACACAAGCAAAACATAAAGTCCGCCAAAATCCGAGGTACAGGCGCGTCACCAAAGCGCAGCACCGAAATCGCAAACGTGGCTTTTCACCATATAAGTGTGAAAATCAAACAATAATCATGTTTGACAACGTTTATTTGCACACAATTAAATAGGTAATGCAACTTTGACATAGACATTTGTAATTAACGATCAAAAAAGACCGCATTAAATAACAGAATGACAAAATTATAGAAAATTAGGTTTATAAGACAAAAATTTTAGTTTATGTGAGTTTATATTTTTTGCTATAGCGTCTCGAGGCTTCCTATGGCGTAGTAGAAGGTATAGTGAGGGTAAATACATGTATTCGGAAGACGACAGGGCAAATGGGGCCCGAGTGTGTAGTTACTGCCTGTCTACCCTCTGGTCCCTGGTTCTCAGACTTTAAAAGGAAATTGGTTGTGGACGGTTTATTAGGCATTTCTGTAAGAAGGATAGGGAAATAAAATGCAGATGTGATGAGCAGGAGATGTCAATCGCAGGGAGTCTCCTGGTCGACCTCGCGCACATGATCCTTGCTTCCATTTGGTTTCCGCCTCTCGCCTATAAAAGTCCACTTAAACAAACTAGAACATATTACAGAGTGTGGTCCGAAGGCCAGCCCACGTGTAAAGAGGTCAGACAAATTCTAATTTGACCGCTAAACGTTAAGTAGTCACGAGCAAAGCATTACAATTGCTCTTTCACCAGTAACGCTGAGTCGCCTCACGTCTTACGTAGGTGCAACTGATTAAATAAAAACAAGGCTAACACTGGTAGGAATACGACTTTAAAGCGTGGCCAGAGTTCAGCAAAACTAATACAATTTGCATTTTCGGATGCCTACTTTGGCACCTATCTTGCCTTTGGCTAGGTAAGCCGACCTTTAAGCTAATCCAAACCTCCACGCCTTCTCTCCCCTCTAAATACAAATATGCAGCCAGTTCATATTCTTTCTACAATCTGTAGGATCTCCCAGCTCATACTCAGTACCAGGGATCTCTAATTGCGTAAGGATATTAGTTAGAGATGATTTATGTGGCATCGCATTCGGGTTTGAATTGTCTTATTTCTTCTCTCCTGTGAAGGAACCTTGAACACACTCAAAACTTCAATCGTACCAAAAATAAACTATATTAGACTAAAACAGCGCTACATGTTATATTTGACAATTGACTGTAATTAGCGCGATCCCAAAGTTGCAACTAGCTCTTTCCACAATTCGTTTAAAGCTAAAAGAGGATGTAACTCAGAATATCGCAAAGCTTTGTTAAAACGTATAATTAATTTTGTGTAAAGTCTCATATATACAAAGTGCTATCAATGAATACAAAGCAATTTTCTTAAAAAGTTTTTAAATTTTATACACTTTGGCTATGTATATTAAAACGTTTAATTAGCAACTTTTGTTAATATCGACAGCCTCTCTGTTTGTTTTGTTGAGTAATCGTAGTCTCCATTGTGTTTTTGGGATGCGTGCGAAGTGGAGGAAGAAGCGAGTTAGGAGGCTGAAGCGTAAGAGGAGGAAGATGAGGCAGAGGAGCAAGTGATTCGGATAAATACACTTTATTGCTCTATTAATGTATCACGCGGATGCTAATAAAGACTTGTTGGCAGCATGAATTTGTTCTCTCAGCTTGGACACTACTCCGTTCCCGCATCAATTTCTCCCGCCGGAGTTGGGTTCCGCTATCCATGTGCAGGGTACGATCCTTTCGTTTGTTTTGCTTGGGGAGTTATGTTGAGATCCAATGTCTTCATCGAGGTATGACCGTTAGTGGGTTCTGAATTTTTTTCTTGGCTGGTCCTTTAATTATCTTAGACCCCTTTGGTTACGTTTGTTTACGGTAATCAGGTTTAAAGTAGTTAAGCTGATCTGGGGCTATGCAGTTGGGGCATTTTTCTAGGCTTGTGCGGGCTATGTTATGGTTTTCACATGCTTGGTATCTGCGACAATGATAAGACAAGTAGTCACTACGTTATAGCATTAGAAGCTTAGTTTTAAGGGGTGAACTCTAGCAAAGTTGATGAGGTGGTCGGCTTCGCTGGTCGTTGTCATGTGCTAGACTGGAGCTAGACTCGTTCGCGACTTAGCCTTGGCGCTGGACACTCCCAATCCCCCAAGGTAACGATGCCTTTCTGCTGCGCAAACTATTGCTTTATTTGATAGTCACGTTATGTGGATGTTACAAAGCTCTGAACACGAGGTCATAATCTGCGAGAGGGATTTGCCCACCAAATGGTCAAACGCCCCACCTGGAGGTGTTTCCAATAGTTGCACACAACAGACCGCCATGGAAGACTCAAATCGTCAACTATGTCATGCACAATTCTTCCTACTACAGGACGCGGACGTGGATCTGTGTTTCATGTGTTTTCTGGGAAAATACTTTATTTTTCGGTACTCCAACGCGTACACACGAAATCGTCCAAACTGAGCAAAAGAAATAAGAGTTAAATAGACCAGAAAACACGCAAGTAGGTAGTCCCTAAATCAACGGGACGACTAAATGGAGAACTCGGAACACCGTCATACGAGTGAACACAAATTGAGAGGGATTATACGGTCTTATTTTCAACACTGTAGCGTTCCCAGAATTCCTAGCCGGTATAAGAGGTCAGTAAGTGCAGTTGGACACATGTATTCTGAAGACGACAGAGCAAATGGGCCTGAGCATGGCCCGAAAGCCGGTCCACGTGTACAAGGGCCAGATAAATCCTAAAGTGACCGCCAAACGTCGAGTAGTCAAACAAGCAAAGCATTACACTTTCCCTCTCTTATTTCGAGTGGCGTCTTCGACGCTCCCCTTGGTACACCTCCCGCATCAGCCATCGCAACATATTCGGTACTACATGAAAACGTCCACGAGCCAACCGCGCCAGTCGACAGATAGCATGAGACTGGGGAACCGTACCTAGTCTCCTCGGAAGCTGCAATTGCATCTGGAGTGGTGTTCGGTCTGACAATCAGATTTGGGGCCGCATACACCAGTTGACCATCAAGTGCTTCCAAGAATAGACGGTGGAACTCTGGTATAAAACGTAGATGCTACATGGTGTCATTTCCGGCTCCTAAGCACGGATTTTGTATGGAAAATTCTGACACGAAACTTCCCTGATAGCTCACGTTGGTATCGCTTCAGTTGTTAACACCTTGCCTGTGGACCGCGGGAATAAGTTAAGGGCAAACGCAGACGTCCGTCTAAATCCTTCCGTTGTGAAGGATTCAGAGATTCTCCCTCATCAGGATAAATGCGCTGTAATGCTTTGTTTATGCGACTATCTGACGTTTGGCGGTCACTTTGGACCTTGCCTGGATCCTGAACACGTGGGCTGGCCTTCGGGCCATGCTCAGGCCCCATTTCTCCTATTGCTTTCGGAATACGTGTATTCAACCTCACTTATGCCTTCTACTACCCCATTGGAAGTCTCGAGACGCTACACTGGTGGCAGCGGAAAGCGAACCCGACATCTTATTAACGACTTTTAGGTATAAGGTGCTTTTGAAAGCGACATAGTATGTGGGAAAATGTGTTGCCCAACAGACACCACTGTCTTACTGACATCCTACGTTTCCCTTGCTAAACTTTGCCAATTAGCCGACTGATTTCCGGAAAAGAACAGTACAAACAAACCGAAGGGCAACGGTTCGATCGGATGATGCACTGGTTCAATACATGCAGATACCCCAAAATCGGGTTCCCTCGGCCGAAAAGTCGAAATCGCTATTTTCACGACATGAGGGTTATAATCCAACCAGCAGACGAGACTGCAAACGAATTCCGCTTCTTAGGGAAGAAATCCAAGATTAAGAAGCGCATTCTGGCAATCATGAGTTATACATGCGTAGAAGGAAGTCTGACTATCTATCGAAGTGCAGTAGATAAAGATACAGGCGA